TTTATAGTCAGCGTCCTTGGAGTTGTTCCAAAATATGAGTGTGTGCCAAAGTTAAAATATTACTCATATTAATCTCCAGAACATGTAGTTTGGACAATGTTTTGAATCACTGCAGTTTAGAATTAGCAGTCGTTTTAAAGACAACAGAACTGGCAGCCATGGCACCCCATAACTATTCAGTGTACAATACCAGTCAATGTAAATTACCACCTCCCCCAAACCAGAGGTAGGCAGTTTTTATTTCCCAGCACTGCATAATCAAAATTGCTGGATTGTATAAATGTCTGGCTTTGTCTCAATGTCTGGCTTTGTCTCAGTGGCCCTGCTTTGCCCCATGAACCCCACAGTCCACACTTCCTAGATTCAAGCAAGCGGGGACTTATATTGAGTGGTACAGGCCTGTAATGGAATCCGCTGTGTCGTTATTTTTATAGTCCAGTTATTGTGCGTTTATTGGACAAGTGGGCTGGCCAGTTTGCTGAGATCTCACTTGAAGAGGTGAGATCTCACTTGACAAGAGGTGAGATCTCGCTTACCGGGGTGGAAATTTCTCCATATAAACACTCACAAGCGGGCTAGCCCGGTTGCTGGGATGAAAGATACCGCTGCAAGCTATTTTTAACAACTGTCAAAACCAGCAAGCGGGATGAAATTTTCTCATATAAACACAAGAGAAATTCATCCCACCTGCCTGTCTTGCTAAGCAGGCCAGCCCGGCTTCCTGCATATAAACAGGCCCTTAGTTGAATTGCAGCACTTGGTCTGCCTGTGTGTTACTTTTACCTTTGCAAGGTAAAAGAAACAAGAGGTGAGAATGGAAAGCCTCTGATCATATCAATTGCAAATCCCACTTCCACACTTGAATAGGTTCAGAATTTGAATCTCGCATGTGATTGGCCATTTGTAAAAATATGTCAAACCTGTTTGGGAAATAAACACTACCGGTACTGTGAGCTAATTATAGCTAGCTATCTATTTAGCTTTGCCAACTAGGGCCGGGTCACCACAACAGCATATGCCAATTACTGTGAGCCCTTTTTACCCAACCCACCCTGTCAACTTTCCATGTGGGAGGAAACTGGAGTACACGGGGAAAACCTGTGACGTTCGGCAGAGCGTTGCGGTTTATTCTTTTCACATGAGGACTGGGTTTGAGTCGCATTGAGAAAGTTCTCACTGACTTGAACCTGCGGCCTCAGAGGTGACAGGCAAGTGCGCTAACCACTTGGCCACCGAAGCCCCAATTAAAAAGCCCCAAGCTATTATAGTAAACTCAACCAAGCATGAATATTAATACTCCCGCAGGTGAAAAGGTATTAAATTTCTCAGGAGATAAACATATCAACATTAATCAGTTTTGCAGGACATTCAGACATAATACATTCTTGGTTGAGTTTAATAGAATATTTTAATACACTAATCAGGCTATAATTAGCTTACAGCAATGTTTATTTCCCAAGCCAGTTTGGCATATTTTTACAAATGGGCAATCACATGCGAAATTCAAATGCTGAACCTAATCAAGTGTGGAAGTGGGATTCGCAATGGACAGTGACCCTGGGCTGTACACAGCACAGGGGAGGGGGCGGCAGGAGGGGGAAACTGCCCTCCTAAAAAACCCCTATATTTTATTAATTTTACAATTTTTAGAATGTCATTATTAATTATTCTTTGGATATTTGGAACTTTTTTCAACATATAAGCCTTACTGCCCCCTGGTGATACGGCCCTGATGTGACCAGAGGCTCTTCGTTCTCGCATCTTGTTTCTTTCGCCTCGCAAAGAGCCTCTGGAACCAGAGTACACTTAAAGTAACACACACACACAGAGCAAATAATATAATGCTTTTAAGGCAGTGAATTGGTAGGGAAATCTTTCAATAATATCCTGTGATTATGGTAAACTATGTACCAATACCAGACAATATAAATCCCTGCCTGCTCAAATCCCAAAGTGTGGGGCAAAGCAGGGTCACCGAGACAAAACCAGATATTTACACACAGATATGTACAGATAGTGACAGTGCTGAGAAGTAAAAACTGCCTACTTCTGGGTTGGGGGAGGTAGTAATTAATTACATTGACTAGTATTGTACACTAAATAGTTATGGGGTGCCATGGCTGCCAGTTCTGTTGTCTTTAAAAGAGTTAAAGGACTGCTAATTCTAAACTGCAGTTATTCAAAACATTCAAACATGTTCTAGAGATTATGAGTAATATTTTAACTTTGGTACACACTCATATTTTGGAACAATTTCCAAGGACGTACTGACTATAAATGTATCAAGATCTGTAAATATAAAATATAAATCTTCCTTTAAAATTTCCGTCGATTTGCGATTTGCCTGCCTGCAAAAAGGTTAATCCACTTGGAACGTTTTCCGTGGTTGTGGACCTTCGTTCCACATCAAATGCATCCTGCCCAACATCAGCGCTAGCCCAGTTTGTAAAGCAACGTTGAAGCTCTTGGAAAGACAGCAAATACTAACGCTGTTTGCTCCGGCGACTTGCTTTGAAGAGGACGAAAGCGACCAAGAAGTGAGGCAGCCGATGACGATTGACGACGAACCAGAAGACGAACAGAACGAAACCCTCGTGAACAGTTTATTAGCAAAAATATTAAGCCCTTCACGAAGGTCTGTCAGCTATTAACTGTGGTCAGACAATCGCCATTTCGCCAACCGGGTACTTTTAATGTACAGTAATGAGTCATGCGATATTGTACCTGTCAGTCCTGGATCGTTGTGACGCATTTCCGATGCGAAATGAGATCGATGAGATCAGATAGGTAATATTTAAAAACATGTCAGCTGTGGTGTGAGGAAAATAAGTTTAAACTGCCAAATCTACCAATTTTTTATGTGTGTGTAAAGATAGTGCAAGTGAGAGTCTGCTATTTTACTCGCGTCGAAACACTGTTATTCAAACATAAATATTTCGCGATCTAGATCGAATTTTAAAAATCCCCCCGAGGAAATTAAAGAAGAAAGCATGCTTTAGCAGAATTTGTCAGTTTGGGCGAAAAAAGTTTAATATCGAATGTCACCGAGGGCGTAGAACAAGGTGTTATTTTCTCACTCCTTTTGTTTACATTTTCGAATTTCAGGCATTCTGATTGGTCAAGAACGCAAAATGTAAACAAACGCGCTGATTGGCTAACATTATTTGCCCTTGTTTAAACGAGTATGTTTATGACATTCAGTATATAGTTCATAATTTCCAGTATTAATTAAACCCTTCTGACCGTGTAGCTCAGTTGGTAGAGCGTCGATCTAGTAATTCGAAGGTCGCGGATTCAAGACCCAGCCGCGGCAGACAATATCTTTCTGCTTGCGCGCGGTTTGGAAATTATGAAATACACACTCGAGAACATTGTCAACTTGCAGAGTGCTCAATGGATATCCAGAGCATAATTATATATATATATATATATGGTGCGCCAGTTAAAGGAAAGCGTCGAGGTCCTCACCGAAAAGGTTAATCAACTTTCCGCATCGGTAAATAAGTGATCAGCGAAGTGGCAGCGATACGAACGGAGAACCCGCCCCGTCGTGGTAGAGCTTGTTATAACTGCGGCGGATTTAACCATATCACGAAGGAATGTCGACAACCCAAGCGAAGAAATTATCGTAGAAGAAATGACCCTGGGCAACGTCGGAACGAAAATTACTGCTTTGTGTGTGGTAACCTCGGACAATTTGCCCGTGATTGTCAATATCGGTATCAAGCCCCCCAACAACGACACCAGGGAAACTACCAAGGGCTGACCCGCTATTATAGGTCAGGGGTCAGCCCGTGAAGTACCCTGGGTGCCAGAGGTTCTTCCACGCTCGTAGGGGGATAATGAGGGATACACGAGGATTCAAGATGGGCGGGCGGCGAGCGGGAAGAACCTCTGGAACACTTCTATGGTTTCTCAGATCGAACCGCACCAATCACGATGCTTAATAGTGTGAAGTGATCCAGAATCTGGATCACAGTGTTAATTGGTTAACGGCAGGGACTTCTTAAAACAATGACATTCATTGGCTGTTTGAATCGTATGTCCTTCAAGATATTATCGTTCAGAATCCGTACAGGCATACGCTGTTGTTTAATATAATATTTTATTTATAACATAGTCAAGCGTAAATACATATGCCTCTAGTTTTGCGAGAGGATTTCAACAACTCGGTCGCGGTTGATTCGATTTTGAAATTTTTTACTGGACGGTGTTACAAAATTCAATAAACATCAAGATGATGCCTTGTTTCTGTGTTTCAGTTAATGCATAGCCGTGACTGAATGTTTGCTATATTGCCAAGAGGGAATTTCGTGTGCGTGTCTGTCTAGTACTGAAGCATGTCAAGACAAGATGGGAGTCTTTATAGGCCTATTTATATCGAGGCGAATTACCCGGCAAGTCGAGTTTATACTCGTCAACGACAAGATCCCGGCTATATTATAGAAACTTATACAGTAGTAAACCCAGGAGACTGTTTACATGACGATGCAGCCGAGTATAAACTCGCCGGTGAGGCGGTGACGAGTTCCCGGCAGAAAGAGGCGAGATATTGCCTTCGGCGAGATGAATAGTTACCATATTAATTAAACAAAAGATGTTCGGGTATTTGTTAACTCGGCCGCCCGAGATCGAATGTATGTATATAAATGTATGTGCTTTGCATTTGAAATATAATATATTGCTCAAAAATACATACAAATCATTAGATAAGTTTTATTCGCCAATTGCAGAGTAACTCGCCTGCCTTGGACGGCAAATATTCGTTTGTATTATGATGAACAAGAAATACTTTTTTACCGAGGCGACGATCCTTTTACTGTATATACTAAAATACCCACTGTGAATAACAAATTCACCACAAACTCGACAATACTCGTCTCCGCTTTTTTGTACGGTCTAATGCCGTGTGGCCATATAATATTATTCGGTTTATTCTACTATAAAGACTCGCTAATTTTTTGTTTTGAAATTGACACATTCTGTCGCAATTTCCATCACTCAAATATGTTCGGTTGAAGACGTTGAACACACCCAAATCATCATCACTCAAAAATAAATACGTGTCCTATTGGCTAACGTTTGATTGACATGTGACAGTTAAAACAGTAAAAGCCATAGAAGTGTTGCAGAGGTTCTTCCCGCTCGCCGCCGCCCAGCTTGAATCCTCGTGTATCCCTCATTATCCCCCTACGAGCGTGGAAGAACCTCTGGCACCCAGGGTACCTGTGAAGATTAAAGCTACATTAGGTGGACACCTGCACTGGTAAACAAGAATATTGTCCAAGGACATATACGGGAATGTAAATTGAGGGCACGAGGAGTTGGTGGAGAGAACTTGCACGTGATTGGCACGGCTGATATTCATGTAAGAGTGAACGGTTTAAATGTAGTTTAGGCTGCTGCTACGCTCGCTCGCTTCAGGCTCGCTCGCTCCGCAGCAATTATTAGAATAGCCTGCCACAATAGCCTGCGTGGCAGGCCCTCAATTTTATGGGGGGCTTGATTTGCAGCGGGCAGGATTTTGTCAGGCCCCCCCATAAAATTCCTCCCCCGTGCCCGCCAAAATCCTGCCCGCTGCAAATCAGCCCCC